ACAAAGGTGGGCCAATAATGATTCCAGCAGCTGGAAACACAATGATGACTGAATTGAAAAGACCAATTTGTGAAGCACTCCAATGATACACTCGCTGAGAAAATTGATAGCCAATGTTTTGTTCAGCCAGATAACCAATGTTTGCCAAAAATCCAGCTACTATGTTTGATATCAAAAACCAATGGGCATTATTTGGCCTCCTTTTAAAGACACATCGAGTTGCAATTAAAATATTGTTGGGCTTGATTACATCGTAAATGATCTGTTTCAAGCTTTTTTTGTTCACTTTAGCATTCAAGCTAGAAGTTTCATCAACTTTAACGGGTTCATTACTTTTAGTTTCGTCGACAGAGTCATACAAAAATATCACAACCCAAATAGCAGCAAAAATTGCACACACGGAAGACACAATATAAACACCGATGTAATTCCGAAGTTGATTTGCAAACCAAGGTTTAGATGCAACGATTCCACCTCCTGCAAGGTTAGCAATCGGTATAGCTGGGTACAGACGGGAGAAAAAGTATTAATGGTGAGCAATCAAGAGGACCCACAATTACTTACTTGCAAACAAAAAGAGCTCTAATACTGTAAATCTAATGGATCGATACTTTGCTGGAGTTTTTTTCGTGGCATAAGTGTAGGTTCCTACCGAGACTAAGGTTCCACTTCCAGTTAAAACGGGTACCAGACATGTGAGTAACAACAAGTATGGATCTGAAATGGAACCAGGAAATGCATTGTAAGTAAAGTATCAACATTCACCAGTTGCGAGTTAAACTACGATGAGTTTTGGTTTCAATATTACACGAAGATGAAACCAAGATGTAATACAACTCATTTAACAACAGCAAATCAACTGTCGAGATAACGAGAGTAACCTAATGACTGTCGTCAACTAGGTTGTTGTGATCTACCATCTTACCCATTTCAAAGTATATACATTGATAGATGGCCATAATGTTTGCACAAACATTTGCCATTGCAGCAACACCAAGTAAATAACGCAAATGACTTGGATATTTATCAACCCAATAACCCATGATGAGTGATAAAAAAATACTCGGAATTGTGGTCATTAGAGTTATGTACAGTTTGAGTGATGTCGTTTCTTTTAAAACTTCATTTTGTATTGTTTCAAAATCAGAAGACTTTTCCAAATTAAAACAATCAGTCTTATTGAGTAGATATTTGTTGATGCAAAATTTATCCTGGATTAGTTGATTAAGAGCTAGATTTGGCAGTGAAGTACTGAGAGTAGCGAAAAAAAAGAATAAATCAATTCGAAGAAGTTTAACAAAATTAAAAATCTCTTTGGCACTAATTTTTGCCATTATTTACAACGAAATGAATGGCAAACTATTCACAATTAAAAAGCAATTTGTTTCAGAAGTGGAGTGGATCACTTTGAAGTGGACATTTGTTTGTGATGGAAAACAAAATGATGCTTGAGAACTATTAATCTGTTTAATTTATAGAAGCTTATTAGTGCAGTTTTATGATCGAGATGCAATAAATGTTAACAGACTAAACAATTGTCGAAACTGTTTAATGTACTTAGGCTGATTTGTTTCAAGTTCATCTGAAATTAATCATTTCCAGGAATTAATCTGTTAGTCAGTACACAAGCTACCCATAACTATCATTTGATCATTCTTATCCTGTAAATCTAATGGAATGGGAGCAATTCTCTTGAATTCAAAACATTAGGTATGCAACGAGTGAAATTTATTGCGAAAAATGTAAGGTCTAGCAAACTATTGACGCGTCTAACAGCTAAAACCCTTTCATGTTATCAAAAAGTAAAATTTTCAGCTCATTTTGTGCACGGAATAGTCTTAGTTTAACATTTCCAAGAATATGAACATTTTCGTGTTTTATATATAAAAGACTTTAATTCACCTTGTTCATTGTCAATCAGTGTAACCATCTCATCGCATAAACAACAGTTAACTAATTTATTCTAGTTTAAGTGAACAATTCAGCTAAAATGAACAACTTTATTGATTTATCCACACCTCAATGGATTATTCTTGGTACAATAAGTTTCATTAGCTGGTATTTTTTGTAAGTTTCTTGAATTTACTTTGATTTCAACCTAACATTGAAAGTTGTTTTTAATATTTTACTTTAACTAACATCTATTATTACCTATCATTAGCTATGTTAAGCGTAAACGATCGTTCTGGGAACGACAAGGTGTCAAAGGACCAGAACCTCCTTCCATGTTTCCGAGTATTTTAACTAAAAGTTCACCGAAACCTAAACCATTGACGAAAGTTTATCTTGAAGGTGTCGAAACTTATGGAAAAATTTATGGGTAAGAAAAGGTGAAGAAAAATTTAAAGACTTGGATTTTGAATCTTTATTCTTTTTTTTTGTTTACACCAGAACTTATGATGGTGTAGATCCAACGTTGGTCTTGTCTGAGCCAGATTTACTTCGAGCTGTTTGCGTCAAAGATTTTCACAGTTTCCCTCAAGGATTTAACCAAGTTTTCGTCGCTTCAATTGAACGAAATTTCCTAACAGTTTTATATGGCGAAAAATGGAAACGCTTAAGAAGTATACTTACACCGACCTTTTCATCGGCAAAGATCAAGAAAATGTTTCACTTGATTAAAGTATGTAATGAAGAAGCTCAAAAACAGCTGCTCAAATTGGCTTCTTCGAGTAAACCAGACTTGAATCCCCCACAATTTTGGAGTGCATACAATTTAGATGTTATAGCAAAGTGTTGTTTCGCTACAAATTTAGACGTTTACAACAGTTCGGGTAACAAGTTACTTGAAGTCTTCAACTCAACGTTTTCTAGGAACAAGTATAAGCATCTCTTCATGGCGTTGGCTCCTAAATGGTTGGTTCGACTTCTCGACATGAGTTCAGTTTCAGTTGAACATATAACTATTCTTAAACAATTAGCTCTCGCTGTCATTGAACAACGGAAACAAGGTAAAAACAAAACCAATGATTTCCTTCAATTGATGCTTGACTCTGAAGCGGATGCCCAAGATGGTGAAATGTTAAAGGATGAAGACAAGAAGTTGACTCCAGATGAGATCGTCTGTTCGTGCATCCTTTTCCTATTAGCCGGTCATGAAACGACATCAACCCTGTTGACCTGGGCCTGTTATAGACTTGCTACCAACCCAGATATTCAAGAAAAGTTGTATCAAGAGGTCGCACAGGCTAACATTGAAGATTACGAAGTTCTACAAAGCCTTTCTTACTTGGATGCTGTGATACAGGAAACATTGCGAATGGATCCTCCAATTTTATTGTTTCAACGTGTTTGCCATTCTGATACCACTCTACCAGGTATTAATGTTCAAATTAAGAAAGGCACACCAGTCAATATACCGACATATGCAATACACCATGATCCAGAGAATTATCCTGAACCAGAAGTTTTCGATCCAAACAGATTCCTACAAGGCTGTCCCAAACCATTTACTTTCTTACCATTTGGTGCAGGACCTCGAACTTGCATCGGAATGAGATTTGCTTTAACAAATGCAAAGCTTTCATTGGCTACGTTTGTTCGTAGCTTCCAAGTTTTTACTTCAGATAAATATGCAAATCAAATTGACCCAATGCCTGGATCTTTGATTAATAGACCTATGTCTATGCTTTTGGGAGTCAAAACAAGATCATCATAATATGAATTGAAACCAAAGTAATACCAAAAGTATTCAGAGTTTATAAATATAATAATATTGTATTGTTTTCTGTGAAGTAAACGAAATTGATCTGTAGCTATTAGCTAATTGTTAAAATGTAATATGAACCAATAAACATGAAAATAATCATTAATTACATATGTATGTATATTTTAAAGCAACAGTTTTTCATTGTTTTTTCGCTTGATTCAACTGAAGTCGCAAAAAATCAGTATTCGGTTGGAGTAATAAATGTTTGGATTAACTCATGGAAATAGTGAAAAAAAACAAAGAACAAATAAAAAGATTAATGCAATATGATTAATGCAGCCAGTCACAAGTTGAACGTTACCTTGACGGCGATTCCATCAGATTAAATTGCTTTTAATCGACCTTCATATTAAATATGAGAGTAGCAGGAGTTGAACTACTCTTTCAACATCATTCTTCTTGTTTGAGTAGACAAAAACAAGCACATCATGTAATCTCACATAAGTGCTGAGCTATCATGATTCATGGAATAAGATACAGCTTAAGAAGTTGATAAACAAATTGTAATCAATTAATAAATGAAATCGTTGTTTTACCATTTCCAGGATAACAAGGGTGACTCCGATTCTGGTTTAAATTTTTGTCACAATTGTTGCGAATGTTTTCAATATTAACTTGTTCAGGCTGCTGCAAATGATTATGAAATTGGGTGTGAAACAATCATGATTGTTTCATCCAGCATATCGCAAAAGTAAACAGACTTATCTGGATCAAGTTATCATGTGAATATTGTACATGTGTTCAAAATAGTAAATTTTTTATCCTCTTCAACCTGGTTTCCATATAATCTACGAGAATGGCTTTTATTATTAATGAAAGTATCTGATGAAAACTCAATTCAATAAATTGTTGATTTATCACCAAAGTGATTGAAAATGTTCAAATCGATGAAAAAATTTGCATTTTTCTATCAATTCTCTTTTTTTACTGAATAACAGAATTAAATTTACCGGTGAATTAGTTAAGTCAACATGAAAACTGTTTTCTATTATTATCTACCTGATCTGTAAACCTGACTCATTGATAGCTTCTAATTGACATTATAGTTTTACATGCAGCAATGAATGGAGAGATAATATGTTCATCAAGATTGATAAAAAGATTTATGCTGATGATGACTAATGATTATACAAAAAGAGCAACTACAATCAACAGAGCTAATCTGTAACCATAATAAATTACCATTGCATGAATAAAAATAAATCTTACTGTTTTGTCCTTTGCTATTTTGACTTTTGCTGGTTTGAACCCAAACCATTTTTTGTGCTGCAAAACATTTGTTTCATCCTAATTTTTTGATTTTCATCGTAAATTTTGTTTCAGTGAACATCTTTTGATTATTTTCTGATCAACTCTCACCATGTTTTTCACACCGAGTGAATCATTTTCCGACCCGATGGAAAGTGAACTCCAAGAATCACCAAATGAAAACAATAGTTTATTAAGGACTCTTATACCTGATGAGGGAACAATCAAACATTATTTATG